AATCAAATAAGATTTTACAGCGACAAAAGAAGAATAAGAATTTCAATGTGTGCAAATTTTGAAAGAATTAACCAAACAAAAAAAGAAATAAAAAGAAAAAGTACTTAATTAATATGCAAAAAATAACACCAGACACGCCCATCTCCCGTGGGCGTCTACTTCTAGAAAAAAATAGGAAAAATAACAAGATTGACATAAGATTTGAACTCACAACATCACCTAGAGATGTACATTCAATAACCATCACATCATATAATACTTTGAGCATGGGTGCACACATATATATATTTAAATATTTTTAAAAAAAATATAACATTACTATATATGATTTAATGCGGGGAGCATGGGTTCACGTGCCCCATGGACCCCCTAGATACGCCCGCACAAATAACTTTTTAGGTAATGGTGGCATTGAGAGATTATAAGGCATTATCTAATTGCTGTATTAATTTATCTTTAAATAAAAAATATAAAATTTGCTTTGTAAAGTAGAATATGTCTTCTAAAAAGAGAGTAATTAAAGAGAAGAAATTAAATTAACCTTTGTAGCTATGGTTAGAAAGAGATAAACCAAGGATTTAAGTTAGTGGAAGTGAATTAGTACCACTGGACTCACAATTCCTATGTGAGAATGGATGTGAATTTAGAATAATTCAATTAATGTATAGTTGGAATGAAGAGAATTATAAGTTGGCCTACACAAGTAGTGATTAGATAAGTCTCTAGCATATAATAGATCCAAATTCACATGAATGAGGGGACATATGTCCTTCATATCCTAATATTTTCTCAAGGATATAGTACCTTCAATTAGAGTAACAGTATAACTCAAGGGAAGTTGGAAATATAAAAAAACAAATGACTCCATTTTTTTTTTCTTTTGCAATAGGAAAATATAAAGGGCCTAATGATGTTCTACTTATTATAGGTCATGCAAAAAAATGAAGTGCATCTGCATGCAGCAATAATGCCTTTTTACATATGAGAGAGCAGAAGGAAGAAAGAAAAAAGTAAGGGGGGCTGGGGCTGGGGCTGGCAACTGCATGAGAGAATCTTGTAATAGAAGAACCCGTGAGCAAACTATGGGCCCTCTCGTCCCCCCTTATTCTTTCTCACCCATCAATATGATCTATGATTATATAACACGAAGAGTTGTGGTGGGATAGATAATATTTTTTTAATATTAATTAGAGATTTTGGGTTCGAGCCCATCTTGAGAATCAATCCGAATTAATCGGAGGTCCAACAGGAATACTGATACTGGGGTGGAAACAAAAAATGATAAGTACTATATTTGACTATATGATATTCCATGATATATATCCACCCCTACCTTTTCTGCATACTCAATTGGAAATAACGTCTTCGATATATTTCACAAGAGTGCTTTAACTCTTTCAGAAAAAACTCCTCACTCCATGCCCTGAAAAATTAAAGAAGAAGATAAAATTAGTACAGAAATTTTAGAGGTTAAATAGTGGATAAGAAAAGTGAAATTTAGTGAAATCTTGTAAGTAGAAGGGTGCATTATCTGGTAAGCTGTAAAAGTGGATCACTAAGGCTAAAATGGACCTTATCATAACACAAGAGGAACATAAACCAAACAGAAAGCTCAGCTTATTCAGAAAAGTAGATTTAAAAAGTTGGTCAGGGGATTAATTCGAGGATTTGGAAGAGTGAAAATGAAAACAAATAATTGCAATGCACGTCCTACGGTATAGGAACCAATTAATAACGCTAAATATTATGTCATTTTCAGCAATGCTATTACTGGGGAATGCTAATTTCAAGATTAAATAGTGCTGCTTTAAAAGTAAGATAAGAAGATCAAGATGGTTCATTTCCTGCAGCCATTTTTGCTATTCAGGTTGGAAAAAGAAAAAGGTTTTCTAATTAAAATTTCCAGTGGTGGGATTTTCAGATTGATGACTCAGTAAATCACTATACACTAGGATAACTAGTGGATGTACATTGCGCGAGGCAGCGAATGCAAGTGCATACACTATTTTGACTCGAAAAGTACAGTATATATTTTGAATACTTTTATGATTAAATATTACTCATCATAGAGAAGAAGTTGTTTTATTAATACTTTTCTAATTTTACTAATTTAAGAAACTAGGTTTGCCTTTCTACTAGGAGGATAAAATGAATAAAAAGGCATGAAAAGACAGAACATGAAAAATTAAAAAAACTTCATCGGTATATATCATTGGAAACAAGAAATTAAATAACAGAGAGAGAGACAATACAAGTAAAGATTCTACAAATACTTTAATTTTCTCTCAAGAAATAATGATTCAAGAATGTGCAAGTCTTTTAGAACGAATATTTATTACTGTTTGTTAATGGCTAAATTTCTCGCCAGATGATAAATAGAATGGCACTGTAAATATGAAAAAATTTAATTGGCACATAAATTGAAACAGAGCTAGTATAAGTTATTACTACATCGGAAGTAATATCTTGGGATACATTCTTCCCGATTCATTAACTCTTTTAGTTGTTTGATTGATTATTGATTATTGATATATGCAAATGGGTTTTGGGTCAGGTTGGGACAATCCTCTTTTAATTGGGTAAATGTTTATTAGATTAAAATTTAAAAAATTGAAAATGTGAAGTAAAAAAATATTGGATTGAAAAGTTGGTTTTCTAGTAGTTGTGACTTTTTGTGTTAGGTGGTGAAAGTTTTGCTATTGTTTTGTTAGAAAATCTAATACTTAACATTGCTGAAAAAAAGTCATAGTTATATGATCATCCGTGGAATTTATCTTTTTATAAGTTATTTTAAAAAAAGGGACAGCTTGCAAAATGAAAAAGGACCTCCCGATTTCGTTTTAATATTTTAGCCGAGACACTTATTAAATTAGAACTAACGTTTGAATTTTGAGTGTACTCACCAAATTCTCCAATTACTTGAATATACTTTTAAATGTGATATATTTTTTTTCTTTTGCAATATATATATACTTTCATTCAGAGAGAGAACTGGGAGTTGAGGATAATAAAAAGGCGATTACTACTGATTACACCTTGAGCAAACTTTACTTAAGCTTTTTGTCTTTGGTAAATTTTTAATTTCTTTTTGTCTTTGGTAATCGTAATTCAATCATTATACTTAGGCCCAGTGGCCGGTGGAGCTATAGAAAAGATATATGGAGAATTAGTCAGAAATATGTATTAAGGAGATTTAAAATATAAAAAAATAAATACATAAAAAAATTAAAGAGAAATTAACATATATTTTATATACATAAAAAAATTAGGTGTAATTTTTATGTAAAGATATATCAATTGAGACAGTAAAGACTCACTCTCATCAAATGTTTTCATCAATCCAATAAATATATGACATATTTTCTTATAAATATAATTATCACTAAATCATAGTAGTAATTTATTAATATACTTTTTCACTTTAATTTAACATTTAATCATGATAAATTAGGCATTTGGTTTAAACTAAGTTTTTACCGAGTTGACACCCTCGGAGAATGTGTATAGGGAGATAATCTTGAGGTTTACTTTATTAGCTACCATCACCTTTAATTTGCCTTTAGGCTTTTACTACGACCTGCATGCATATCCCATATTCTCAAGCTTTTTAAGCTTCTCATTTAGTTAGGAATTCCTCCTTTTAATACTTATTATTATTATTATTATTATTATTATTATTATTATTATTATTATTATTATTATTATTATTATTCTGTTCAAAACCAAGAGTCTTTCTAGGATTTGGGTGTTTTATAACAGGCATAAAAGAAAAGACAGAAAGTGAAAATGTCAGACTCAAAGTTAACAGGAAAATAAAAAGGAAAAAAGATTAGTTGGATTATTAGAAACAAGACATGCATTTACTTAACAAATGGATTAATGGGTTATGGGATTCCTTCTGGCCTCATCCTCTCTCTCCCCAGAATCCTTTATCTTTTTCTAGCCTCGTTCGCTCATTGATTTTGTCAATATGAACTTAATTTTTTTAAATTATAAATATGAACTTAATTGACATTGTAAAAGAACTTTTTTACATTAAAAGACAACGGTAAGTAATCGTTCATAAAGAATGACATTAATATTTGAAAAAAATAATACCTGTTATCTACTAAGATAAGTTAATATGTCTATTAAAAAAAATTATATTGCCAATGTATATAAATTTGGAATAAATTTTTTTAATCGTTTCCGACATTCAAATTTGCCAACCCCTTCAAACTTAGTCTGCCATAGCAATCATCACGTTCTGTAAACTGTACACAGTTTCTACCTACTGATAATTTTCTTCTATACTGATATATGATGGTTCCCTTTATTTGCATATATAGATAGATTGATAGCTACAAAAAGAGGAGTATTGCGTAACCAGTGGGGTAGTAGGGGAAATGACTAAAGTGGGGTGCATGGTATTTATTATGGATTTTTCTTTTATTTTGTTATGGATTTAACTTACATATACAAATATTATATTTTAATCTTTTGGAGAGGTAATATGTCTTATTTTTAAGTTATTAATTGCATTTTGAAGGACATGTAGTATTATAAGTGACGGAGTCGGTGGCGGAGCCAGAATTTTCGTTAAGAAGTGTCAAAATATATAAAAGTAAACATATCAAGAAATTAAGAAGAGTCAATACATACAATATATATATATATATATATATATATATATATATATATATATTACCTACCTACACGGTGAATTTTTTCCGCGAATGGGTGTCATTTGACACACCTTCCTATAAGGTGGCTCCGCCACTACTGTCAGTGAGTTTAATTTAGTCAAACCTAGTAACTTTAGTTCAAAAATATATATTTATTTAAAAAAATTATTAAATATAAACAAATTATTAATTTAAAACTCATAAAGTTAGAATCTCAAACTCATAAACTTCCAGACTCCGACTCTTCACAGTAATCTTTTAAACGGATTTACTAATATAAAATTCTCTTGCAAAGCAAAACTATTTTGTTTTATATAAACCCAACCTATTGTCCATTCTCCCCTCTTTCTTTCCATCTTTTTTGAGTTCTGTACCATTTTTTCTAGCTACTGCAAAATTGCTCAGAGGCAAGCTATATATCCATGGTTAGATAGTGACTTTGAGAATCATCCATCATCTTCAACTTCACAAGATAATTCTTTTGTTCTTTCTTCTTTTGTTTTTTCTCCCTTTGGCGTTATTTTTACTCTACAAATTAAATTACTAGGTAGCACCCAGTGTGAATGGTATGTGGCTAATTGTCATTGCCACCTGTTTTTGCTAGCTAACTCTTTCAATTTTACTCCAAAACAAAATCGCTGCTATTTGCTTAGTTGTTTTTGTAATCCAAAGTTTGGATTCTCTCTATCTGAATATATAAAATTGGCTTTACCTTCTTCCACTTGTTGTTCATAAACCAAGTTTGTTACAAGAAGTAGGTGTTAGCTTTGTATTTATTAGCTATGAATCAAGAAAAGCAAATATATCATCAGAGCAACAGCGGTTGCTTTTCTTTATTGGAGTCTTCATCAGTACTCTCTCATCAAGCTGCCATGTTCTCTGATGAAGCCAGTGTTTCTTCCACCACTAGGGTTCCAAATTTATGTCCTATGCCTCAAACCATTTCAAATCATCAGCCTCAAAAGATCAAGAAGAAGAGAAGCCTCCCTGGAAATCCTGGTACGTTAACGTAACATTTGTTTTATAACAGTGGTGTCCAAGCTGGTCCGGGCACACCTCGATTATTTCATCAGATTCTACTAACCAAAACTTAGCAAATGGAAAGAAATTATCTAGCGGTTTTTTAAATTTCAATTGGGATTTGAATCTTGATATCCCATGATTTTCTCCGCTATATAGGTGCAAAAAAGAAAAGTTTACATAGATAACCTAGATTGATTTTTTTATTTTTTTTTGGTTACAAATTTCAATGTTGATTGTTTTTGGTTATGTGTACAGATCCAGATGCTGAAGTGATTGTTTTATCTCCAAAGACACTTTTAGCTACAAACCGATTTGTGTGTGAGATCTGTAGCAAAGGATTTCAAAGGGATCAAAATCTTCAGCTTCATAGGAGAGGTCATAACCTACCATGGAAATTGAAGCAAAGAAACAACAAAGAAAATAGAAAAAAAGCATATGTTTGCCCTGAGCCAACATGTGTTCATCACCATCCTTCTAGAGCTCTTGGTGATCTCACTGGAATTAAAAAACATTACTGTAGAAAACATGGTGAGAAGAAATGGAAATGTGACAAGTGTTCAAAAATTTATGCTGTTCAATCTGATTGGAAGGCTCACTCCAAAACCTGTGGTACAAGAGAGTATAGATGTGATTGTGGAACAGTCTTCTCCAGGTGCGTTATTTTTTTTGTATACTACCAGTGTATTTTTTTGATTTGTCTTTAGAGCTAATTATTATTTTTATTTTTTTATACAAAATTTGTGATGTCATGTATATACTCATCAGTTTGAGAGGGTCTGTGTTTTGTTTTACTAGCAGTACTTAGTTTTTGTTTTGTGGCTGTTCTTACTTACACAAGAGTAGTGAGAACACTGCAGGGAGTGTTCTTTTTTTAAAAAAAATAAAAAATTGTTGTAAGCTAGTGTAGAAACGGACGTTATTAAATACAAGTATACAATCCCTGTTGACTGTTGACAGAGGATATCTATCAAGGAAAATTGAATGTATTACTCAACCCTGAACATGCCAGGGGTTTAGATTTATATGCCAAGAAATCTGGATTATATGTTACTTCAGGGGGTGGATTTTTTTTTTATAGTTAGCAGAATAAATTATTTTACACTATCAGTGCCTTGAATTTCCTATTTCTTGGCTCTATTATATAAGAAACGCCGATAGGAGAGAAGCTAGTGCCAAAGTTTGTTTCACTCCATAATGCTCGGGGTAGCCAGATTAATTTGTTGCTAAAGATGGTTTTATTCAATTTTATTAAAAATTATTAATAGAGTGACATCTTAAAAGACGGTCAAAGAAAAAGGTTGAGTGCTTTCTTGTGACTCATGGTTGAGAATCTTGAAATTAAACTTCATGGTGTTTCAAAACTTTCAATGGAGGGTATCATTATTCACTTGCAGATACCCTGTGTACTTCTGAAGTCATCATAGCTACTGAAAATTTTGCAAAAGAAAAAAATAATAATAATAACAATAAAAAGGGAGAATAGATCATGAGCTGAATTCTTTGATACTGATAAGATAGATCATAGTTGGAACTGCCAAACATACATACAAGTGTATACGTGTCTACTTATATCATTATCAAATTTAATTTATATGCACTCATAACAATTTAAATTTTTTATGTTGTCTGTATAATTTAATTTTATTATAACAAATTAAAAATAAAATTTTCTAGATTACTAATTTCACTTATTACCAATGATATACTATATAATTATCTTTCATGATGATAATATAGCGTATAAAATCTTTTAACTAGGGTGTAGAAATATAAAAAATTTAATATATGCGAGTATAATTGGGTAGATTAGTGCATGTGTGGCTTAGAGTTGGGTTCGTGCATGAGAGCTCAGATTTCAAGGAAGGCTTTTAGGTGAGGCAGTATTTTTTTTTCCATTGCTTTTGCATGCAATTGTTAAAACATCAGTCAACTGTCTTGTCTCTATCCCCCTCTCTCTCTCTCTCACTCACAACAATCATAACCCATATTTTATCATTACATACTTTTAATTTTGACCCTCCTTGATTCCATTTTTATGTGAATTCTTTACCTTTTTACGAAAGTCTCGTGACTTCTCCCATAACGCATGCACGATACTTTAACTAGTTGTCCCCAAGTTAGTAAATCAGGAGAATGTTATTTCAGGGGAAAATTATTTAGAAAATTTTGTAGCTCACTTATATATGCTCATTCTTTTGGCTGTTGTTGATTTCTTAAGATGGTATAATCCGTACCTAACGAAAAATGACTGTATTTATATCCCTCTCTAAGATTTTTCAGAATTGTGTTGGCCATATTATGGTTTATTCTAAAGAAATAGTTATATGGCTTAAACAGTTTATGCTTTTAAATTATCCATAGAAATTGTTTCTTTTAGGTGAAAAAAATAGTCTTTTAGTAATTGTAGCAAATCCTTTAACAAATGCCATTCTTAATTTTATCTATGTGCAGAATGGCTATAACAACAGCTCTTGGATACATATCTTGATGAATTTCCTTAAGTACTGTTCTTTCAGAAATTTGATTTACACCCATAGTTAGAATATAGATTATGCTAATTTGATGCTTCGCATGAAATTTGAAGAACACTAATATCAACTACCCCTTATGTATGTGATAATATATTTTCACAGAGACATATATTTATTTTCACTGATTATTATATCATTATGAATTGCAATGCATTTGGCAGGAAGGATAGCTTCGTTACACACAGAGCATTCTGCGATGCATTGGCCGAAGAAAGTGCCAGACTCTCAGCTAACTCAGCCTTAATGCATAGAGCGGCCGTTGCCGCCGCTACAACCGAATCCAATTTCCATCTCAACCAATCATCACCAATATTCTTCCCTTTCCCCACCACCAACCAACGCCACTTCGCAAACCCTCCTCCGCCACCAACCACGGCGGTGACAACCCATATCTCCCTCAACAACCCATGGGACCCACAAATTCCCTTAAACCCTAATCCTACACATCATGAAGAAAATCACAACCAAATGACTCATCATCCTGTTCCTATCAAGACTGAATCAATTCACATCCCCATATCATCTTCAGTGCCTCCATTTTACCAAGATCACTTTTTTCACAAGGGTTCTTTTGCCAATATCCCATCTCCTCAACTCTCAGCTACAGCATTGCTCCAGAAAGCAGCTACTATAGGCACTACACATTCCGCTGTGAGTCACGTGAACTCAACAATGGCCCAGTTAAACAGAACCTCTCTTGGTCACATGACCCACAAGATTTCTCCGGAGGATTTTCTAGGGTTTGGATCGGACAATATGTCGAATACTTGGCAGCAGAAAAGCGAGAATCTCACGAGGGATTTTCTGGGGTTAACAGGAGATCACGATCATGACGAGTCTTGTGCTGATGGAAATGGGCGGAATGGAGGACTTTTTGTGACATATGGAGGAGGAGGAGTAGGGAATGGAAATGGGGGGATGGACTTTCAACAAACACTATATGAGCGTGACCATTCATCAGTGTTGAAACATCATCAATTGGGCTTTGGTTTTGCTGCTACTGCTACTGCTGAGACTGCATCGGAAACATGGGGGAATTGCTGATCAAGTAACTTACTTACCAGAAGGGTGAATTTCAGAGATTCGCTGTGTTGGAATTTAATTAGGGAGATATCTCTATCATCAACAGAAAGAAGAAAGAGACTAGCAAGAAGAAGGAACTAAAAAAGTAGAAAGAGGACAGAGGAAAAGAAAAGGACAATGAAAATAGACTTTTCGCATTTTTCCTATTTGCAAGAACCATTTTTATCTTTTTTCGATTTACCCTTTTTTTCATGTTGGTAATGCACATTCTGCTTTTTTGGATTTTAAACCTAAGTCTTTGTTAATTATTGCTTCTGCATTTTGTTAGTTTCTTTTTTTATTTGTGGCTATGTTCGGACCAGTTTGCGCCTCTACTATTTCACGCTATACTTGTTAACAATTAGTAGTAGTATAAAAAACTGTATGATTACATTAATCCAATTATTAAAGGGATGCAACTCAACGAAATTGAGACAACTATATATATATNTGAAAATTGGCTTAAGAGGAGTATTTCCTTGCTTTGACTAGATACGTCGACTTTTTTTCAGAGTAACCATTTAAAGCAGTAATATAATGTATTTTTCCTCTAAAAGGAAGGGGGTGATTTGCAATTGAGGAAGCTTATTGGAGATGTTACTCTATGCAATTTTTGGATTCTTTGCATCAATTATATCTCTTCTTCTGAAAATGAGAACTTCCCACAGTGACACTGGAAGAATGGGGTCAATAAATTTCATATGAACAAATATCAACTATTATTATATTCCTATTGCATATCCCATATTTTTGGGTTGCATTTAAGATATACATCGTTTATATATAAAAATATTTATATTATCAAGTCACCTAAAATATTTATAAATATTCAATTTATAATCTTGAAAATAAGACATATTACCTACTACAAATAACTAACAGATATCTACAAATATAAATGTTCTAATCTTAAATATAAGACAAGGTACAACATATAAACAACATTTAAACTTAGTTGGGGTAAAAGAACAGTTATAATAATAACTCCATCTTTTGAAGTCTCCATCAAATTAGTATTCACAGACTAACATATACATAAGCTTAATGCATACACAAAACAGTAGTATCACTTTTGCATTAACCATAAATATCTAGTACTTTTCACCACTCCAAATCATAGCCAAAAGATAGTGTCAGTAAAATAAATATAAAAAAAAAAGAGTTAGAATCAACCGAAGCCTAAGAAAGAGGATCTCTCTCTTTAGAATATGGATTTACTAATTTTTTAAATAAATAAAAAACTAGTCTCTATTTTGCACGTTATCTTTGGACAATCTCACAAACAATGATATGTAATATTATTTTTAGTTGCGTTAAATTTATTTTATGAGGTACAGAAAATGTTGTTAGATAGTATCCACTTAATACCTCTTTAAACGTGATGTCTTGGTGTATATTCCATTATTCTTCTTACCCATTTGAAAAAATATGTCATGACAAATAATCTAACATTAGGGATTGATAGTGTGGAATAATACTGGATATATTATTGTTGGTGTTGTAGGGATTGATCGATCATATAATTTATTTATTGTCATTATAAATATAAACATATTGAAAATATTAACTAAATATAATTTTAAAAATACCGGTCATTTTTTGGCTTGAGAATTCAAGTTCTAATAAGAAAGGCACGTGTTGTGGCTTATTGGTCCATCAAAAATCCACCTAAATTATAAAAGGAAAAGAAATTATACTCATCAAAGGTGAGGTCTCATTATTTTTCGATCTCATTATAAATGATTATATAACAACGATCTAGTTGCTCGTACTACTCCTCTCTATCTCTTAGTTAGGTACTAAGAATACAACTTTGTATTTTAATTTTTTTTTATGCGTGTATCTCTATCTTATTATAATGGTAGCATCAGAGGATTATATTTTAAATTTAGTTTCTTTTATATGAGTGATTCACATAATTAAAAATCAAATGTAATTTTTATTGGGATATTGATTAACTCTTCAATCCTTTAAAAAAATATTTAATTTGGATGAAATGATGTATAACTGATAATTAGGATTTGAAATAAACTATAACTTTGCGACTTCAACGTTTCAAGAATCTCTAACCTTTTTATAATTAATAAATCAAAATTCCAAACTGGGAAAGGATAACTGAACGAAGCATCTGTTATATATCCAAGAAGAAGTAGGTAAAAACTCTGCATAGAGAGAAAGAGTATTTTGGATTTTCTTTATTTCTTAGTGTTTTCTTTTGGTTTGTATATTGTATTGCTGTAAAATATCGGAGAGGAGGGTTCGGCCATTTTCACACTTTTTCTTTTTTGCCATGCAATTTAAATCGGAAAAGAATTTCAGCCTTAGGTATTTTACAATTATATTTTTAAATTATACAAATATTTAAGGTTATTAAAGTCGAAATATTTCAGGGATATTTCAATCGTTCAATATTTAACCTAAATTATTCGTGCTATTATAATAACTAATGTATATGAACGTGCGTCGCACGTTAATAATGGCACGTAATGATTTAAACATTTATTTATATGAAATAACAATAAAATTTAATTAATAAGAGAAATTTTATGTATAATAATACAACAATCATCTAAATACTGAAAAATATTATTACATTAACATAATACATGAATTTAAAATAAAAGGACATCATCAAAACTTACACAAATGATCAATTTTGTCATCTTAGTTAGATAACTATGTATTATAGTTTAAAAGGTATTTAATGTGATGGTATCTTAACGAACACTTCTTTGTGGACAATATTTTTTTGTATATGTTTCCTTCTAATGCTTTGGTTGCTCTTCCTTAACCAGAACTCTTGTTGTCGATCTTGATATCCCTCTTGAAAGTGCAATATACAGTTGTTCGTGCAAGAAAATATATTGCGATAAATATAGTCTAATATTTAGGGTGTTTGTTCTTGTGCTTTATTTATTATATTTGCAAAACATAAACATACTAAAAAAATATTTCACACAAATTTAAAAGGATGTTCCTTAGTTTCGAAAGACGAAAGTTGAATTCAGAGATAAGAATATACTTAGCAGCACATTGACCAGTATCATAATTTTTGCATGTATGACTTTATTGTCAAAACTTCTATATACCATCTATGTGCTATTATATAAGCTATTTGGCGTATTTAAGTTTTTCAGTAGCATGACAGGCATTTTTTTTCTTCAAATTCAAACTATATACAATGGAAGATCAACTTTGTCTATTATATATACGGTGACACTAACATACGTAAGAAATAATAAACTTGATAACAAACGGGTATGGTAGAATGTCGTTTGGTATTAAAGTATTTAAGTATTCTTCTTGGTTGTAATTATTGGTATCATTTTTTGCTGAGTCAAAAAAAATATTTTGTTTAGCTATAAAATTTTGCAATCAACTTTTTATTTAGTTGATCAACATATTCATTTCTGCTAGCTAAAAAATCTTTTTAATTCTATCATGTGATTTGCACAAATTGCGTTTTAATATAATGATAGAAATATTTATCTTATTAGATGCATACTATTACCATTGGGATCGATAACCAAGTGTTCAGGAAGAACCAAATCATCTTTTATTAGATGCTCTTATTCGTTTCCGACACGAAGCAAGAAGATACTGAATACCGGATCTGTTCTTACTTTATATTTCTTGCCAGTTGAATCTTTTTTATTTGAGATCAGAAGTATAACTTTGGCCAGCTAGCTTTTACGGTCTCTGCTTTTATCGATTTTGAAATTAACTTGACATAAATTACCTCCTAAACCATTAATTTTTCACCAAACGGTTCATTAATATTCAATGTATCTCTAGAACTCTGTTTGACACTTAGCCATAAGTGTTTCATCCCATTTTATGAATTTTGCTTTCCTTATAAATTGAGCACCATTGCTCTGCTTTGATATATATGTGATGTTTATTTAAGTTGTTTGAAAAGGTATATCAAATCTAAAGTGGGTGACCTCACAATTAAATCATTATTGGTACACCACTTGCTATTATTGCTAACAATGTCATGCCTCTTGATATGATATTTACAAGTAATACATGACATAGAAATATTATTTCGATTCCGCCGGAGGCATCTACAAAGAATAATCTTGTTATAGCAGAGTCGACTCTTTAAAATATAGTCTTGAAAGCTTGTTCTTGTTTAGGATTTAGCTTTGATTGTACTTACTCAGATACTTGTATAGCATTTTGATTCTTAATAGTATATTAACCATTTTACTTTGTGTTCTAACGCTCTTTTTATGGAATAAATTTGTGTGCCTAAGATTTTTTTTAACTTGAATAAGAATTTTACTCATGTGATGAATTTAAAAAATAATTGAATTGGATTCTCTTGCAAAATAATTAATTAAAAGATTTAATTATTTGATTTTAACATAAAAAATAATTTATTCTATGTTGATTCAGATCTTAATATTAGTTTATCTTATTTTGAATATTTAATCTTAAATATAATTTTATCCACCATAAATTTTATTTTCAAAGAGTAAATGATTGATATGACATTTCACTTTTAGATCTTTATGTCTGAAGAATCATTAGTGGTATTGACTTTTACTGATCATTTTTTTCTCTTTCTCACACATTTATATTCTTAAATATTTTTTTTAATTGTTGTTTAATAATTGAGTTTTTTTTAATATTATGAGAAAAATTAATAAAATAATATTATTTGAGTAGAAAAATAGTTTAAATATAATATAAAAATATATTATCATGGGAGTATTTTGTTTCTCGATGTCAAGTCTTTATGCAATCCATTTAATATTACTTTTATTTTTTTGGTATTGGACATTATGAAGTGGTAATGTATTGCCAATACGGAGGATTCTGATGAAATTCATTTCATTAAACCTTCCTACATATTTTTAATAAGAATGCAATAGATAAATTTTATTAATTTTAAAATATTTAATATTAAAAACTAGCATAGAAGATATTGTAGTCCAAAAAATAAGTTATTACAGTTATGCCCTTTCCCTATGAGTTATTCCGTTTCATATTTTCGGGTTATTTTGGTATATTAATATTGCATTTATGCTTTTATAATAATATAGTCTCTTCTTTTTCTAAATGAATTTAGACAATATAATACATTCTCAAATTAAATTAATAATAGGACATTATAATATATTTTTAAATTAAATTAGTAATAATAATTTTTAAGAAGTATATCCTAAAAGTAAAAGGATTACATGACTAAAGATATTTACTTGTTCAATTTTATATGAATTAGACAGCCGAAAAGTAATTATACTAATAGGATTCCTAAAGGTAATCATGTAGGATTCCTAAAGTGTAGTATTATGTCCTAAAACTAATAAGATTATAAGATTAATATCTAGAATTACGGTTATGTCCTTTTATTATGAATTATTATGCTTAATATTAAAAGGTTATTTTTGTAAACCAACATTGTATTCATGCTTTTATAATAATAATAATAATAATAATAATAATAATAATAATAATAATAATAATAATAATAATAATAATAATAATAATAATAATATATAGATAAACATACCCGTAGGCATTAATTAATACAAATTGAAATAATGGTGGGAAAAAGAAAAGAAATGAAAAGAAAATCACGTTATGCATTTCTTATAGCTCTTCTTGTCACCGCTCCAAAACATAAATTCAAGAAGTAGAAGTGAGACAAAAATTAGGTAGATTCACCCCAAGCTTAAGAAAGATGAATTGTCTCCTCGGAATGGGTTTGTGTCCAACTTCTCCACACTAAACTATACAAGTTTGTGCCAATTAATAATAGGCGTATATTTTTGTTTTAATTGTGTCAATTACTACTATGAAAATATCCACTTTCCTTCACTTATTTATCATACTTCGTCTCAACAAATTGCTTGACCATTAAACTTGCCAACCGTCGATTACAAGGGTTGAAAATATTTTTCTATCGTTTGACTGAAAATAGGATAAGATTCCCATTCTTCCAATCTTGTGATAGTTGGATATTGCCCACTCCCACAGCCCCCCTCCCCCCC